CCATCTCTAACATTCTGTGATTCTGTGCACATTATATGTGTGCATAGATTTCTACTTCCCTAATTTCAGAAAACAAAGGCATGGTCTTCGGCCATAACCTTAACATTTATTTTGGCAGTATTCCCAACTTAAGGAGCTCCCATCTGTCTCTTTCCTGCTTTATTGCCTTACCTTCAGCTGGATAACTCATTTTCATATTAAGAATTCACAATTTCAGTGTTATTTTCTAAAAATCAAGTTTAGGATTTTTTTCACCCCCTCCCTTCATTGTACCATGCATCTAAGGGACACCCTTACTCTCAACAGTACAGATTTCTACCCTTTCAAGGAGTGTAAACAGAATTGCACAGTGAATATGACCTAAAAATGAAGTGGGAAATAACAGATGGGAGTTCTGAATTTCCCATAAACACAGGTGTCGGAACAAGCAAGTATTTAATCACTGTTCTGAAACAGGCAACAAAGTCTAAAGGACAAAATCCTCAGTCATGTGCTTTATAAACACTTGCCAGTTAGAGTAAATAAGTTATGCTATTGTTAAATATTTAGTATCAATTATAAATTATTTCATGCAGATGGGTTTGGCAGTACTGTGTTATCTGTTGCACTGTTATCTGTTTACTATACGAGTCTTTTAAACCTCTGTATCAGCAGTAGAATAGACAGTGCAGAGGCCAATTGTTCTGTTGTTTGGTAAGAATAAAATCCTGAGCTGCTACCTCCTTCCAAATGGAAGGCATGGAAGGCTTCTGGCCACTGGCAGGAAATACTTAAAATAAACATACAAGATCTTTATTCTCCCACTTAGTTATCTTAGTAAATAAAGGTAAGTGGAGATAGTGGGCTGGAGACGCTGCTCAGTGTCAGCAGAGGGAACAACAAACCAACCTCATTTTAAGTTACAGGCACTTTTCCCATTGTGTGTTCCTTGGAACAGCACTGAACAGTACTCCAGCCACCGATGGTTTTCCTGCACACCTGTTATCCAGTAATGCACTTGTGATAACGTAGCAAAGGTATATCCATTAGTTCTAGTTGTTGTTCTTTTTGGGTACAATTTGACTTTTTTAAAAAAAATTGGTGGGAATGTGGGACAGGGAGGGAGGCAGTGAAAAATAGTATTTGTCTACTGTAACTATTAGTCTTAATGTTGTTTAAATAAAATTCAGATAAAACTAGCTTCATTGGTACAGGACTTATTTAACCAAGAGTGTAGTTACTATTTAGGAAATGTTTTCAGATTCTTTTAACTAAAGTGGTGATTATTGTACAGCTTCTGCTGTGTATTACAGACCCTTCCTAGGAGAACATCACAAAAAAGACACCTTGCCTCTGAAGCAGTGTCTGCACATTTGTTTTGTAAACAAGCTCTCTCTAAAGGGTTTTCTGTGAGCTGTGCAGTGAAAACTGAACAGATGCTTCATTTGTCAGTAGGATTTTCACTCTGCTGTTCACTTTACTATTTTCTGTGAAGGCTCATTGGTGTTTCAGTGAGGCCTTCATTAGTGCAAACTAAGGAAAAAGCTGTGTTACTCTGCTCCATCTCTTTGCATTTTCTTTCTTTAATAAAAGTATGTCTTGTCTTTAAGGCATAAGAAGTGATGTATTGCTAACTTGTTTGGACAGGTTCCGGGCTTCCCCTGTGAATGACATCTTTTGCCAGTCTCTGCCAGGATCCCCACTTAAACCCCATAATCTGGAACAGCTGGAGAAGCAGCAAGAAATGCTGAAGATGCCTTTTAGAAGGGTTAAGGAGGTAAGATTTATTCAGTTTTAAATAGAAAAATCATTTTTTTCCATGTTGTAACACATACAGCTTTCAGTTCCATGGAAGAAGTTCTCTTACCCAACTTTGTAAGACCATGTCAGTCTTTCAGACAGTCTTTAAGCTTGTTGAAATTGTCTGTAACTTACCTTATTTGGAAGGAAAACAAAGCAAATAAGTTTGGGCTGCTAATTTAAAACTTCTTTAGTCTTTGTAGCCTACAGTTTACAAACGTGTTAAGCTTTTGACTTTTGATTTTTTTTTTCAGCTATGCTGAAGACAGTGAAAACAATGCTTTCATGCTTTTTCCCCCACAGCCTGCTTCACTGGGTATTAACTAACTTCATACAGTTTATGAGAGTTCGCAAGGGACAGACAAAATCTAAGCGGGTGTACACTTTTGGGTATATATTTGTGTATACTTTAATTTCAGGAAGAAATACATTCAACAAAAGAGGAGAAATTTTCTTCCATTCATAAGCCAGTTGCTGTTGGAAGCCATCAACTATTAACTGTGGGAACGACCCACATCTCCAAACTGACTGATGACCAACTTATAAAGGAATTTCTGAGTGGTTCCTACTGCTTCCATGGGGTGAGAAATAAAGCCACGTGTAATAAAATAGCTAGTCCTTAATGGCACATAGTGGTTTATGTGTTTGTTTAGTTTTTCCATGAACTCTGATACTTGCATTCTTATACACGTAATAATTGCCTTTCCTTGTAACTGAAGTCCGTGCTAGAAATGTATCTTTAACCTTTCTGTTGAAATTAAATTTATTTGCACAGACACTGAAATGAAAGTAGATCATGACAATTGTTCAGTGCTAGTTTTGTTCATGAGAACAAACAAAAAAAACTTGATAAAACCTATTGAGAGAACAGCTAGCAGAGAAAAGGCATCTGAAGTTTTCCCTGTCTTTGAAAGAGATAGTTTAAGGAATTTAGTCCTACGTGGCTCCTAGGAGTCTACATCAAAAAATAGATCCTCTTTGCTTAAACCCATCTTGGAATAGATGGAATTCCCTTGCCTATGTCAATTAGTCTAACGAGATTTTTCTCTCAATGCAAAGCTTGAATCGACACATCTGCATAATAGCCATGGAGTGTTACAGTTAACACAGCCAGTGCTTGAGGGGCTGGAGGGAACGGGAGAGGGGTGTTTTGGGGGGGTTGCTTTTGTTTTAATGCTGAGATTGTACCTCTTCCCAGGGTGTTGGTTGGTGGAAGTATGAATTCTGCTACGGCAAATATGTTCATCAATATCATGAGGTATGTTTAAATAGTTTTATGTTCTACCACTAGAGGGCTGCGGGGGAAGAAAGGGTTGGAGAATCTGTCTGGGATTTGAAAAAAAATCAGCATCCTGTTCTTGTCTGACCAACATCTTGGGTTTAAGAAGTTGGATTTCAAAAGGAAATGCTCTCTGTGCTGTCTGTGTTTATGCAGGGGGATGTTGGTACCATGTCAGGTAGAGCACAGTAATAATCAAAGTGGAAAAAAGGGGGTTTTTTTGGGGGGGATGCTCTTCTGGTCATTGAAACACTTGTATCATCTCACAGAGCCCAGGTGGCTGCTCTGAAGAGACCAGCAGCTGGACTCTTGACTCTAATACCAGATTGGTCACCCTTTGTCCCAAAGGCAAGAAGACGTTACATCAACAGCAGCAGACTCGCTCTAAAAATTACATTCTATATGTCATTAAACTATCCCCAGTGCTAATGGTATAACACAAGGTGTAATTATCAGCCTTTCCTTTTTTAGGATAAGGAAAGTGGCAAGACTTCTGTGGTTGTGGGCACCTGGAGCAAGGAGGAACACATCGAATGGTCCAGGAAGAACGCTGCTAGAACATTCTATCTCCGAGAAGATGGCACACAGACCGTGAGGTACGGTTACCGTCACGAGAGCACTGCTCTGGCCTTCTCTGTGCCTGAATTGGTCTCATACTTGCCACAGAGAAGACAGAATGCCAGGGTCCACTTCTGCTGCGCGTGAATAGTCAGTTTACAAACGGATATAATAAACTGTCAAGAACAGGGTGTATAGGTGGCATTGTCCCCCCCAACATGAAACATCAACATGCGAAAATGTAATTCAACACTTTGGATATGATGCAGAGAAAAAATCTTCCAATAGTGAACAACTCTTTCCTTCTGCAGTAACTGAAATACAAAACAAAGTAGTTATGTGCTGTATGTTGGAGTTAAATATTTGAAGAATGATGAGATACTGTGTCTCACAAGCTAGCTGTGTGTTTAGTATTTCCCAAGTGTTCCATTCCAATCTTTTGTGGCAGGATGGTGTCTCATTTCTATGGAAATGGAGATGTTTGTGACTTAACCGACAAGCCAAGGCAGGTGACTGTGAAATTGAAGTAAGTTAACTCTTTTTAGTAAACTGATGTTTTGTGTCTCTACTTCTTGTGTCAGAGGTAAAAGCCTCTGACTTCTTCATAAAGCTCAGACAGCAATGGCTGTTGGCTTGCCAAAAATGCTCTAGATGCTAAGGGAACAGATGTTCTAGTTTTGTGCTTATTACATGTTAAACATTGCAAAATTTCTCTTCTGTTTTCAGATGTAAAGAATCCGATTCCCCTCACGCTGTGACCATATACATGTTAGAGCCTCACTCGTGCCAATACATCCTGGGGGTACGGAAGCACATCCTTGAATTCCTGAAGATCCCGTGCTAACAAAGCACAACTCTCTGTGCAATTGCATTTTCTCAGAGAAAGGAGCAGATTATTATTATTAATTACACTAGTTACATTGTTAATATGCGGTAGAGGTCATGCCCAAAAGTAAAAAGCACTTCCTAAATTTTACAAAGCGACGCTTGAGTACTGTACCTCTTGTGCTCTGTTGTCATTAATATTTTGATCTGTTGCAATCTCTTGCAAGAATTTATCACCTATTTCAGCCTTTAATGTTTGTTCTTTTGTGTTCAAGGTGGAATCTCCAGTCATCTGTAAAATCCTGGACACAGCAGATGAATACGGACTGCTCTCGGTGCCCAGCTAAAGCCCGTGAAGCCACCACACCTGCACCAACCCTGCTGGTGTCATGCACGTTAACATCCCCTCTGTGAGACAACAAAGGCAGAGTGCAGCTTTCCGCCAGCCAGCCTCACCAGCAGAGCTCTGTGAGAGGAGGGACTTGCCAACTACTTTGTGTATAACTATGTGTATATAAGAGGTTATTGATAAACTTTTAAAACCTTGTCTTGCACTTCTGTTTGACTGGTGTATGTCACGTTCTACAGTCATTGTCACTGTTAAGGTATAATTTTTTTTTTTTTTAATATTAACACTGTAGGGTTCATCTTAATATATTTATTTTGCTGAACATCCTCACTGCCATCAGTCAGATTCGCTGTTTTGCTTCTAAGGTATGACACCAGTGATCTATAATCAACATTTTTTGTGTCAGAACTGTCAGTATTAGCTGACCTTTGGACTCCAACATGTGCCATACATGTGCCTGAGCGGTTTCCTTCTCGGTGACAAAGACTTGGTGCAGCCACCTGTCTCTTAATGACCCATACCAGGCTGGAGAGCCACTTTCTCGTAGTGCGCGTACCCTGCAAATTAGATTTTTGGTGCAGGCAGATGAAGTTTTAGTCTGCTGGCAATCTACATTCCTAGAAGCTAATTGAAACATTACTTAACAGCTGTATCTGAAGTAGATTTCCATTATGCTTCAAAAATAGTTTTTCAAATAGGTAAGAAAAAGAGTTTTCAACTTGCTGGTTTGTAGCTCTGAGGATTTCCTTCCCTCAGAAGGATGCTTATGCTGGAGGGGGCAGCAGCTGGGCAGCATTTCAGGCTGTGGCAACAGCATACGATCAGTATCTTGGTCACATATGTAAGCCCGCTACGTTTCCTCTTTTCTAAAGCCATTGTGCAAGGTAAAGAAATTTTGCAACTGCTGTCCAGAAGAAATCCGACAACCCTTTGGCATATGACTAGTCTACTACTACCCAAAATACCAACTTAAACTGCTAGACTGTTGGAACGCAAGCACCCACTTTATTATCTCATCTAGTAGAAACCCAAAACATCAGTAGCAGGATGATACAGCATTGAACTTCAAACTCTGTTCCTGCTCATAGCCTTGTTTCTGATGGCTTAGCAATGTGACAGAGGAAACTGAAAAAGGGGGATGAGTCTTCTATCCAGATTTTTCCCCTCCTGTCTCGTGAAGCATTAGATAAATTAGCAAAAAGTTACTTGTACTTAGCCAGCAGCTTTTAGAAAAGAGAAGACATCAAAAGTAGTGTTCTCTGGACTTTAGATCCTTAACTTAGTTTCCCAAAAATACTTTCACTTGCCTGAACAGTCAACCAGACCCATCTTCTCATTAACTGAATCTGGGCCCCACACTGACCAAAGGTTGTCTTTGGCCACACACAAAAGCGACTTGTTGCACAACCTGCAAAGCCGCAGGATGGGCTCCCCACCCAGCTACAGACGAGCATTTTGGCAGCAGCTCCTCCAGCTGCCGTTACCCCTCAACTGCCTTACTCCCAGTTCTGGACTGCCTGAGGCGTCACTCGCTCAGGTCCACAGCAGCGAAGGCGCAGCCCAAGTCAACATACAGTAAGAAAAACACATTTAGCCTGAGCTTCCCCAAGCTGTCTTTACAATGTGCTGGGTGAATTTTCTCATGAAGGCTCTGGCAGGAGGTGGAAGTGTGAGCTTTGTGCAATCCCTCGTGATAGTTTTATTGGGAAATGAGACTGTCCCATGTCTACTTGGCTGCTCTTAGGACAGGCCCTATGGACACGGTCTTAGCGCTGCACTGAGCACTCAGGCCCAGGTGTGATGCGGCCATAGGTGCTGCAGTGCCCCGCTGCAGAACGCAGACACGCAGTGTGGGTTGGGACAGCGTCAGACCTCCTTGACGTCTGTCAGACTAATTCATACTAAAGGGAAGAGAAACCACAACATGATGAACCCCTCAGTTGGGGTAATTAGAGGAAAAGATAAGAATAGTTATTTTGCAGAACATAAAGAATGCCACTTCTCCACAGAGGAGGAAGTCCCCAGTGCGAAGTGGAACCACAACCTCTGACTAAGCAGCCCCAGCACTTCGGAGTGCTGCTAATGCCAACTTTTGCCATTTTTAGGAGCAAACCATGCTGCTGCCAAACCCATTAAATCTGTATCCGGTTCTCCATATTCCTCAGCCTCTACTTCCCCTTGCACAGGAAGCAACACACTCACCCATGTTCCTACCCTGCATCCGAGCTACCAGCAGGCACCCAAATACACAAAAATTAAGAGCATGCTTTTCTCTTCCACCCTCTCCCATCTCTCCATGACCAGCAGCTCATCTGGGAAAGAATCACCAAGGCAGGGGTGAGGGGAGCAGGAAAGATGCACACAAAAAGCCCAAAGGGTACCATAGACCATGGGCTGGTACTGCTAGAAATAATTCATTCCAACCTAAGTTTGTGTTCTAACACATTTGAATCTAAAAGAAATGTGCAATTGAGAATAACTTGCTGCTTCAACCCTCTCCTAGACAAGCCCTAGGGTGCAGGAACCTGTCAGTACCAAAAACAGGGGAAAACAAACCTCTTCTGGTACATGGAAAGCACAAAGCAGAACTGGAGGGCTGCAGGTTTCTGTGCTGATCTGCTTAGATTTATGCCCGAGATATTCTGCAGGTTTGTCTCTCAGCCCAGGAAGTACAGTCGTTTCCATGCTCATCTAAGAATCAGCAACGTGGAAGATAATGCGAATGGCAGGCAGCGAATTTGCAGCAATGGTACCGATATAATCTGCAATTAGTCACAGGAAATTACATCAAAGGAAAGTAGAGTTGGGAAAGTGAAACATGCCGCTTAGCCAAGTATTTACTTCTATGAGAAGACCTCAGAGAAGCTGGTTTAGGTCCCAAAGCCCGAGATTTACCTGCACAGAAAGAACAAACCTCAGTAACAAGCCCTTAACAAACCCCCAATTTACCTGCACAGAAATGCTTAAAACTCACCCGCGGACTTCTCCTACACAACCCAAACCAGCGCACGAACAGCAGCCCTCATTTCTTGCCAAGACCTGCTGCCTGAACATCAGAAATGAAATCAGGATTTGCTATAGAAGAGTTGTGGCACTACTGCTACGTCTTTATTTGTATTCTGCTCAAAGCCACTGCTCAAATACAGCAGACAAGGGATTCATTCTAGAGCTCATTTTAAATTGTCATTTAAACTCACAAATGATTTATTAGCTGCAAGAACAGATCAAAAAGGATGTAAGACATCCATAGAGCTGATAGAGGTGGTAGCGAGGAGTCAGCGGATCAATGTGCAACACAAGATGGTCACTGGGAAGTTTCACTGAGCTGAAGGGGTGAACTAAAACAATCGGTTTGGGAAAGATTTTCTCAACTGGTATAGAACTGCAGGGTATTAGCCCCTCTCCCTGCGCAGAAGCAGACAAGTGCATTCCCAGGATGTAAATATTGTATTTATACAGCTGCATAGATATGACCTGCAGTTTTCATCCAGCACCCAAATCCAAGTCCACCTTAACAACTGAAGCTCCTTTGAGGTCGGGTCTCCTGAAGGCTGCTGCTCACCCTCTCTGGATTGGTGCAGGGCTTGCACAAGTTCAGCTCTCCTATCTTCAATTATATTTCCAGCACACACACACAAAAAAAAATTCCTGTGCAGAGAGACAGCAAGCAAAGGGAAGACGACATGTTTGAGGAGTGAAATCTCTTTATTGAATCCTTGTGGGGAACCACAACCCTGCCTCGGTTCTGCTCGCAGCTGCGTTGTGCGTACCTTCCTCACTCACTCAGACCCTTCTTGTGTGCTGCTCTTCCTCCACCATCTCTAAAATAAGAGGCTGCCTTCAAAAAAATGAATACACAGAACATGTGCTGGACGAACAGATGTTAGCCTAGTGCCAGCATGGCATGTCAGCAGAATAATTGTTCTCGTTCCGAAAAATATTCTTCTTCACTTTGCCACTTTTGACGCTTTGATTTACTGCCACGGCCAGCCACAGAGACACAGTTTGATGTGCCCTGTCCTAGAATGGAGCTGCTGTCTTCCCAAAGAGGGAACCGCGGGCCGAGTTCCCAGAGCAGCACAGATGTATTTAGTTGAAGTTCTTCGGAAGACTCCTCGGGAGAAATATCTGCCTGTGGGGGGCTACCCCTAATTGAAAGCAGAGCAGGAATCTCTCCTGACATGTCCAAAATGCTCTTCATTTCCTGTCTCTTCTACCAAAGCAAGTCATGATCTGTCTGAAGAATGGATGACTTCAGGGCAATTCCCAGAACCTGTCAGGGCGGGGAAGTGCCTGGTCTGACCAGACAGGGAGAATAAACAATGCTGGGGTTTTCCAGCCCCTCAGGACTGGACAGGGAGCCTTTGGGCTGCTGCAAGAGTTTCCAGTCACTGCCAGTTACAGAAGAGTGGAAAAAAAAAATCAACAGCAGAAAAAGCAAAGCAGATGACAGAGCTCTACACTTTATGCAATCGGTTGACTTCCTTTCAGTTGGCATCCTGAACAGAACTAGCTGCAAGCAAGGAACCTATCTTTCAAGGCTACAAACACTGGGAAAATCTCCTGTTACTTTTTCCCCTCCTAGTTAAAGTGCACAAAAGGTACGATCACTCCCTATGCAGCAGCACTTCCGGTGTACAAGACCTCTCATGTATTCACATGTAAGAGACTCCAACACAAAACCCTCCCCCATCCTGGGAAACACACCCACAACAAACCACATTACAGCAGTAAATCAGTTTTACAACCTCACGGTCACGCCTGGTGCTTCCAGACCTTCCCTGTGACGCTCGAGCAGGCGGGAAGCCAGCAGGTCCCTTGGGATGACACCATTCACAGCATCCAAGCATGAAAACCACCAACTTCCAGCTCCTGTCTTCCCCTCAGCAACAGGCTGGCACGATGGGGAAAACTTTACGGATTTCACCAGGGACAAGCATCTCTGCTTCTCTTGCTGGGGCCTGGTGCAAGCCCCCTCCACCTGCCTCACAAAGAGGAGCGGAGCTCCAGAGGTTTCCGGGGGAGGGGGGGGGAGGGCCGCCCCACCCCGCCCTGATTCCAGCCCTACAAAGGGCGGTGGCGACAGTGGCAGCCGTGGCAGCAGTACCTGCGAGGGAACAGCAGCGAGGAGAGCGGGTAAAGAAGGGGAAGGGGGATGGGGAGGGTCGCTGGAGGAACAAGGGAGCTGGTAGCTGCCTTCCAGCCATAAATTTGTGATGATTTTAACACCCTGGGGGCTTGCTTGCCCCTGCGGAGCAGCAGGTGCGGGTTACTCCCACTCGGTGCAAGGTGTGAGGGAGGGATGAGGTGGCTGGTGGGGTCCTGCCGGTAGCAACGTGTCCAGGGGACAGGGCTGGGAAGTCCTTGGGGTCCCATCTCTTAACGGTCCAAGTCTGGTGGGCAGCAAAGGGGACAACAATAACACCAGGTTGCTCACCTGAAGGTCTGCACTGGCGCTTGCAGGTAATAAATAGAAGAGGTGGACCACGGGAGTCAGGAAATTAGTGACTGACAGACTCGGGGCAGGAGAGAAGCTGGGCAGTGATGCTGCCGGGCGACGGGAAGTCTGCACAGAGGAACAACGTGCAGGCAGTGGCCTCTCCTGGCACAGGCTGCCTTGTACAATCCTCTGAAATTGTACTTGAAAACAAAGTTACTCTTTTCCTTACTCTTAACTGGCAAGGCTAAGTAAAGTGTCCCTGGTAAACTGTGGGCAGAGAGCAAACTGTTAAGTAGATGGGATCAGAAGAGAGGTAGTCACACAGCTACACAGGGCTCCCTGCCACGTTACTTCTGAAGACGGGACTTATGTGGCCGAACAGATTTCAGACAGGTCAGACTTACCTGGTGGTTGTGTGCCAGGATGAGAGACGTAAAACCTGAGTTGCAAGCAGTGGTTACGAAAGTGCATTTCAGATTATGCAGCGGAAGATGCTATTGCAAAGCCTGCTTGCTGCCTGCCTGGTATGGGGGGAGGAATAATAATAATAATTAAAAAATCATTCAGACTGTATCTACAATGATCTGGAATGAAGAGCACTCTCCTTCAAATCATTCTCCGACACCAGCTTTGACCATTGCCTCTTGAAAATAATGGAGCAAGATATGTTTTTTTTTTTCAAGTAGCTAAAAAGGGATTCAGAGATACAACTTGCAGAGGAATGAAACAATTTCTGCACTTGCAAGTAAACTAGGATTAATTTTTTTTGAAGGGTATTCATTACCATAAAGCATATTACAATGATGGATTTTTACATTTCTTTTCTCCAGGATGAAGATCCTTACTGGAAGTCTTCATTTCCACTTCATTTCTTTCTTATTCAGCAGAGCAAATGGATTCCTAACTCTGAGAACACCTACCACCGATGCCTCCCCATTTTATAACTACTCTTATTTAAACCTCTCTTCTATATCAGAAGCACAAGCTCCGAAGATGGCAAGAGCTCTCAATTTCTCACATAACATAATGGAAAAAATAACCAAGCAAGACTTGGAAGGTTTTGATGCGTTAGAAGTTTTAGACCTTTCCTACAATCGGATTAAGGACATTGAACCTGGTGCATTTGAGACCCTGCCCAGCCTTGTTTCTGTGAATTTATCATTTAATGATAACGAACTTCTTGTCTTGGGTCTGCCAGCCCATCTGAAGCCCGCACCCACCAGCGAAGCCTCAGGGTCTTTTCAGCTTTTTAAGTATTTTGACAACTCCTCAGAGGCTGCTCCAGAGCCTTACACATCCCCTGAGGGGCTGCCACATTCAGGAGGTCCATCAGTCCTGCAAAATGTTAATCTGGAGCTCAAACGAAATACAGAGAATCCTCTTCCAAGAGCAGAGGAAAAAGTGACGGTCTCTCCAACAGCCACGTTACAGCCCAATTTCTGCGGAGCACCAATAAATGGGATTCTTGATCTGTCAAACAGCAAACTCACCCAGGAAGAGCTGGAGGCAAAGCTGGATGCAGATCTCTGTCAACCTCAGATGAACAATATTTTGGAGCTTGACATTAGTCACAGTGAGCTGGAAATGGATCTTCTATCGCTGTCCATGCTGTTTTGGCCAATGAAAAATGTGCGGTCTGTCAATGCCAGTTACAACAAAATAACAATTAATATTCTGGATGCCGAGGCTATCTGTACATTCCCATTCAGCAAGCTTTTGTTTTTAAATATTAGCAACAATCCCATAAACAGCTTGAATACTCTGTGTCTCCCTTCAACCATCAAGGTACTTGATTTATCCTTCACTAACGTAAGTCAAATACCCAAAAATTTTGCTAAAAAAATGATTAACTTAGAAACCATGTATGTTGAAGGAAATCACTTCATATATACCATACATCCAGAAATCACCAGTGCAGCTCCACAACCTCCCCCTGGAACTGTCCATATTAATGCCATCTCCTTTGTCAGAAACCAGGCTGGCACACCCATCGAAAGCCTTCCAAAGAAACTGAAACACCTGCAAATGTCCAACTGCTCCATTGTAGAACTGCCGGAATGGTTTGCTGGCACAATGCAAGAATTACTCTTTTTGGATCTCAGCAGCAACCGGATTTCTATGCTTCCGGACTTACCTGCCTCCCTGCAGCACCTTGACATAAGCAACAGCGATATTAAAACGATACCTCCTACTTTTAAATCTCTCTCCAACTTAACAATGTTTAATATCCAAAATAATAAAATTACAGATATGCATCCTGAGCATTTCCCGTTAAGTTTAACAAAATGTGATATTAGTAGAAATAAGTTGAACGTGTTGTCATTAACTGACACCCTGGTGAAACTCGAATATCTCAATGTTTCTGGAAACCTAATTACCAGAGTGGAACCCACTGGTCACCTTTCTGCCCTCGCTAATCTGGACAGTAGTCACAATCTGATTTCAGAACTCCCTGATCTTTTTGGGAAATCTCTGCCAATGCTGAAATATTTTAATTTATCAGGGAATAAGATCTCCTTTCTACAGCATGGGTCCCTCCCAACATCTCTGATTGAGTTGGACATCAGCGACAACGCCATTACTACCATTGTGGAGGACACTTTTGGCCCATTAACAAGTTTGAGTGTTTTGACTGTTCAAGGCAAACATTTTTTTTGCAACTGTGACTTGTACTGGTTTGTGAACGTCTACATCCACAAGCCACATTTGCAGATAAATGGCAAAGAAAACCTCAGGTGCAGTTTTCCACCAGACAGAAGGGGCTCGTTGGTGGAGAGCAGCAACCTCACGCTGCTGCGCTGCTCCCTGGGCATCCAGATGGCCATTACTGCCTGTGTCGCTGTCCTGGTCGTTTTGCTGTTAACAGGGTTATGCTGGTGGTTCGATGGGCTGTGGTATGTGAGGATGGGTTGGTTCTGGTGTATGGCAAAGAGGAAGCAGTACAAGGAGAGGCCAGAAAACAAGCCCTTTGATGCCTTCATTTCGTACAGCGAGCAAGACGCAAAGTGGACGAAAGAGAATCTACTGGAAAAACTGGAAGCTGATGGGTTCAAGATATGTTACCATGAGAGGGATTTCAAGCCAGGGCACCCCATACTCGGTAACATTTTTTACTGCATAGAGAACAGCCATAAAGTCATTTTTGTTCTCTCTCCTAGTTTTGTAAACAGCTGCTGGTGTCAGTATGAACTGTATTTTGCTGAGCACCGGGTCCTGAATGAAAACCAGGATTCTCTCATCATGATCGTGCTGGAAGACCTCCCACCCAACAGCGTGCCACAGAAGTTCAGCAAACTCAGGAAACTGCTGAAAAGAAAAACCTACTTAAAGTGGAGCCCTGAGGAACACAGACAGAAAATGTTCTGGCATCAGCTAGCAGCTGTCTTAAAAACAACCAATGAACCCCTCGTGAGAGCAGAAAATGGATCCGCTCGGGATATGTATGAGATGGATGAGATACAAGAACATGCAGAGGTTGTGCCTGGAAATTCTACAGTCAAATAAAAGCATTTCTGTGTTTACCTCCTGCAAAGGCTGCTGTGTTGGGACGGGGGTTTGTCTCAGCTCAGTCCCAGGAGAGGTGACTCATGGGTTTGTAGCGCTATTCCCTCTGATAAAAGAATCCGTTATCCAACGGGCTGGGACCTGAGCACTGGTAAACAGCTGCTTCTTCCTGCGTGCTTGATGTGCTTTCTTCAAATGCTGTGGATGTCACCTGAAAGGAAGAACAGCTCGAGTCACACAGCATGCCCTGACTGTCTTTTTGAGATTATTGCTGTGAAAAGCAACGTAATTCAAAGGGAAGGTTGCAGTTCAGATTCTCAGTTCTAGTACAGCTTAAGATGGGAACACACAAGGTGTAGGAAAAACACCACGATAGTACACAGGCAACGCTTTCCTTCTGTCGTTCAGCGAGAAATAAAGACTAAGTTAATGAAGTCATCTGAGAGGTGCAACTGCAAATCCATGCTGCTACATCATTTGGTTTAAGTAACTGGTGGGAGAGATCAGACTTTAAAGTCTTTTATAATTACAGATCAACACATGCAAGCACATTAAAAAAAAAAAAAAAAAGAGCCACCTGAGTGTGTCAGTCTCTACTGTAAAATAATTGGTGTAAGCGTTATTTAAACGCCGTTATCATCAACCTCTGAAAAATAAGCAAGAACATTATAATATGATTTACATTTAATGAAGTTTCACTTGACACAATCAGCCTGACCCATAATTCAGTGCTACCTCCACACAGCCCTTGTCATCACCTAGTGCCACTTCATACTTTTATTTATTGTATTTGAAAAAAATAATTTAAAAAATCAGCTGATCTAGCTTCCACATTCAAGGAAAATCAACAGACCGTGATGGAAATTAAATTTCAGATGAGAACGCGTAGCACAATCTGGCTCTGTGTCTTAGAAAAATAAATGCATACTGCCTTACAGAAAACTCTCTACTGTAAAAAGTTCTGAGGTGGTGCCCAACTGTTGAACATTCTTTAACAACTTTTTGAGGTTGTGTAGATATTGTCTAAAGTTATTTGGTACTACGAACTTTTAGTTTTTATATGTAAAGGATAAAAAAAAAATACAACACTGCAAGCCAACAGCTCAAAAAGTCAACTCTTATCACCATAAAACAAGATCTATGACTTAGAAAAACCTGTTAATTATAAAATCTTTCAAATACTTTTGTTCCTGTAAACAACCAGAAGCCACTTGTTAGTGAGATCAGCCTCAAGCAATTAATCAGCTGTTTTTTCTAATAAGCTTTTTTATGCTTTCTTTAAGGTCGCTCCTTATTCCATGAGATACCCTGATCAAACTGTTGGTAGTACTCCTAACGGTAAAAATGCAGATTTTCTGTAATAAAGCCAAAACAGTCCTCAGGCCAAACACCGTGGCAGCGGCAAACCCCAGCACACTGAAAACATACGTTGGATAACTTGTTCCAACACGATGGGCTCTTCCTAACCCCAGAAACCAAAGATTGCTTTAATTCCTGGAGTATAAAATTGTATATGTATTTCAAAACATGGTGGCATTAACTGTCAGCCTCCTGATACTCTTCTTACTCACATGAAGTACCTGTTAAACCTTCCTAGTTTTTTCTAAACAGTTCTGCAGCAACAAGGTCCACAGTGTACGTCCGGGCAGCAAGAAAAGCACAGCACTTCGTGAGTCTTGGATTTACGACCTTTCATATTCACGAGATGCTTTCTTCTTCTTGTGTTACAGGTTGCACTAACTACAGACCTCCTCTAAACCAGCCAGCATTCACATACTTTTATTGCTTATTTTCTTACCCATCTCCCCTCTTCACAGCCATTTGCCATCTCCTTCGCCCAGCACTCTGTTGCCTCCCCTCTCAATTAGGTTGCTGCGTTTTTAACCTCGCAGTCATGCTTTATTGGGTCTGTGCTCAGAAGAGGGTTCTGATACAAAAAAGGGGGCTAAAGGAAGAAAAATATATACTACAGAAGTCTAAAACAAGTAATTTTTTTGTCATATGATAACTGATTACTTCAGTTTATGATTCACTTCAAATTGTACTATTTTCAAAATCCAATCTCTATTTGCTACATCCATAAACCTCCCCCAAAACACAGTTGTACAGTACAATTAATAACTTAAATCAGCTTTTGTTCCTACTGCAGATTAAAAGGTGTTGCACTTTCCTATCTGACACGATAAACACGTTAACACATTGGTTGTGTTAAGAATACAACTGGCACCAGGAGTTAACAGAAGAGCGATATTACAAAGTGCTTTAAAGCGACTTCAGGTGTTTTGTCTCAATAATACATCACGTAAAGGCAAAAAAACCCTCCTCCTATCCTAAAGCTGGACCCTTCTCGCTTTACTCCCACATAAATACTCAATGCAAATTACTTTTAGGAGTAAGGTGCGAGGGATTTAACCTTCTATCATGCGATGAAAACCAAAAGCACAGCAGGAGTCATGTGTACATGCAGGAAGCTCAAAAACTGCCTGATGTTAAAACCAGCCTTAATGCGTACCTTCAGGTCCCTTAAAGCACACACAGGACCCCACCTTGCAACCACTTCTGGGATCCTGCCCTATACTCCCTACCATCTGAAATGGTAATTGCTGACAAGAATGTGTATTTCGAGACAAAATGACAGGATCCCACATATTTTTTCCCTCAAAATTAGTACGCTTTGTACTAAAGAGAAATGCTAAGACAGAAAAAACACACAAGACAGATCTTTTAGTTATCTTTTATAATTACATTAGAAAGAACCATGTTATTTGTTTATAAAGAAAAATATCTGGGCAGAGACAAGACCTATGGAAACCATTTCAATTTTACATTTGTAATAGAACGTTGTTCACATCCATTTTATTGCAAGAAAGCAGTCTTGAATTATTCAAAATTAATTAAAATTCAGAGTCCTAAACAAAGAACAGTGCTCATCATGTAATAGCCTTCTTGGAAAATCTTGAAAATAGTTTGGTTAACAAAGAGCTAAACCAACAACTCCTCACACATGGCAATAACGTGAATGTTTTTTGTTTTTAAAATAACAAATAATCTCTCCATCACAGTAATTCCACTAAAGATGTGGCATTTCCCTATAATGATGCACCAAAAGTCTCTGGCACGATTATTTTGGAGATACTAAGGCTCTGCTGAAGTCCACAGAAGTCGAAAGGTGATTGTTTTGAAAAGATCTGGCCACTTAAAGCAATAATAGTCAGGAATTTAAATGCCTCCAAATCATTCTGGTTCATAACTAATTCCCACAACATATGACACAAAACAAATGGCAGGATTTATAAAAAAAGGACTTCTGTTATTTTCTCACTGTGTAGACCAACAGATAAAGTTTGTAAGTAGACAGATTATTAATCTTTAAATCAAACTGATATTAGACTTCTTAAGAAAACCTCAAAAAGTTGTAGTCATCTCGGTACGTGGTCACTCTGTTCTTAAAAATTGTAATAGCTGTCAGTTCTACCTGTCAAGAATATCACAGCTGAATCCCCTCCCCTTCCTGCTTTTATACAAAGTTATAGACAAAAAAGCAACCAGCAACACTACTCTTCACATAACTGTTTATAAATTAGAAATTCCAGAGGTGACTGCATCACTAATAGTGCATCAGCACTATAATATTGCAATATTCATCTTTCTCCTCAAGTAAAACCTGTAATTAGGTATTGCACAGTTACTTCTATCAGATGTAAAATACTTCTCCAAATATATGATTTTGGGATATATAACACCTCCAATCCTTAAAATAAATGTGCAGCAGAAATTAATATATATACTTCAGAGGTTTATTACAGTGCCAAAACACTTTAAAAAGTCCTTCCCCAGCAGCAATATAACACTGTTTGTAAAATGTCTTGTCCTGCTTTAGGAAGCTGAGACTGAAATCCTAAACTTCTGTTGAGGTTCCTAGAAACTTTGCCATTTTCCTCTACAGAGCCAGGATTTCACCCTGTGAACAGAAAGGACTTTTGTTATCACCGACACTTGCTACAACAAAATATAACTGGTTCTTTCAATCTGCTGCAATGGGAAGAGTTTAAACTCAAGTATCATAATACCAAGCATCCTCCCAATTCTTCTTGAAAATACGGCAAGTATGCAACTCAACAGGTAGTACTTCTGCTTGCAACCTCAGATTGTTCCCCGAGATATTCTGCCTTGTGACGTAACAAATCACACAGATCTAGCGCTTACTTTTACTTGTCCATCAGTAAAATTTACTAACAAAACCACCCTCATGTAACAATTCCAAACACAAATCTAAAATACCACTCTTTCTGACTTGCCATAGAAATTCAAGAAAGTGCCACGGAAATAACATCCTAGCGTTCACTCCAACTGCGAATAGCTGGATATTAACATTAGTGGCATTTTTCTTAATTGCCAGCAGTACTGTATCATTAAGAATATTCATTAATAAAAGCAAAGAAGGGAACCCTCTGGATCAGCTAGATCAGAGCCCTTTCCTAAGGTTACACTGAGGGCACTGGTATCTGCTTTGTCAAAGCACTGTCGTAGTCTTGCACCAAGTCATTGGTGGTGTGATAATGCATGGCAACGTAGGATTTGGCAAATCCAAAAGTTGAGTTCACCAGCTGTAAGCTGTTTGGGGTGCTCACTTCCTGGGAAGGGCTGCTGTTATAGATACTGTAATAGGGCTCGATTCGGGTGTTCATGGGGGTCGAGCTGCTCTGTGCATAGTGCTGATGACCCACAGAAGCCTTGGGACTCAGCACGCTTTCCTTGGAGTGACTAGGGCCACAGGCTTGGTCCACAAACTTTTTCTGAGGTTTTGGAGACAACATGTATGCTGAATTGGTCTCGTGGTGGGATGACTTGTTCCTGTTGACCTCCAGGCTGCCTTTGCCCATGGCCCGAAGCCTTGTCTTCTGCTTGCAGCAGAAAAAGACAAGGGCTATGTACTGCAGGCACCAGAGGACTCGTCTCCGAAGTCCGGCACTGTTGCGGGAATATATAAAAGGATTTAATCCAGATTT